TCTCTCAGAAAATTATTCCATCTTAAATAGCTTTCCTTGACAAATTTTTTTGCTACTAAAAAATATTTCGTCGGAAGCGCCGCATGTAGGAAAAAACAACTTTTTTTTCGATAGCTCAGCGGCTCTTCCGCCGAAAAATACGGTATGCACAACTGGTAGCAAAATTAATATGTAAATGATGAAAAATAAAACGTGATTGAAATCTAAGGATTTATTTACAAAAGTAGATCGGACAGAAAACAACAAAACCTGTTTTCTTGCCGAGAAAATAGAGCGGACTTGAATGAGATTATGAGAAACACTTTTGTGTTTCAACAGGAAATGAAACTAGTATTGGTGTTCTTTATTCCGTCTTCCTATTAATGTTTCGACAGATTTCGTTAGTGTTTTTGCCTTAGCTTTCTCCCCTTAAATATTGTATATATATATAAGCTTTGGGGAATATATTTGCATCGTTATCTGTCACGCTTACTACAGTCGCCAAGGTGCCAAATGGATTGTAAATTGGCATTTAAAAAAAAAAATTTTTAGACGTTTGGCGGATGGGGATCCAGTACTTCCGAGTTAGTCTCCTGTGTTGCTCTTGTTTTTACACACAGACCGCTGCCCATAAGTTGCCCCGACTTGGCGATAATTCTGCTGCAAATCACGATACGGAAATTCCCTTAAAAACATAACCTGAATTGAGCGAACATATCAAATAATTAATTTAAAATTAGTAAGCTGCATCAGGGAGTGCAGCCAGATTTTTTCAACAATAAAAGCACCTTTTAAGTACTTTTTCAAAAAATAGTATATATTTAATCACTTTACAAAAAAATCATAATTAGGAACTGTGCAGTAATAAAAATTTTTTTTTCCTATTGGTTAAAGTTCTTAAAACAATAAAATTCAAGAACATTTTCAAAAACTTTACATAACCATGATAAAATAACTAGATCCTGATAAATATTATAGTGAAAATGGTAAAAATCAAGCATATTTTGTAATTTAGAACGAAAATCGACAAAGCAAAGAAAAAAAAATCTCTTTTTAAAAGATAACAAATTAAGCACTTTTTGCATACCCCAAACAAAAAACAGGGTGGCCACTCAAAACAGATTTCAAATTTCCCTGATTTTTCAAATTTGATTATTTGTCTTCATAAGAGGTAAATCAGTAATGAATATGTTAAATTAGTTTACTGTATTCAATTGAACTGTGCACTATGCGATAAAATGCTTAAAAGAAGGACTTCATATCAGAGATTAAAATTATAAATTTTGTGGAAAAATTCATAAATTTGCAATTGAGTGTTGTAAAAGTTTCTGTAAAAATTTTANAAAAAAAAAAAAAAAAAAAAAAAAAAAAAAAAAAAAAAAAAAAAAAATTAGTTACACGTATTTTCAAGCTTTAAAAGCTATTGTAGATGCTAAAGGAAACTCCATTAAATGTTAATTTAACGAAAAATTAGATTTACTAATAGACCGAGTATTTTCTTTAAAAGTGTATGATGACTTTCGTGGGATAAAGTTTTTGTCACTTTTTGATGATTGATTCCTCAAAAATAAACTTTTCCTTTGTATTCAAAATATTTCATATTGTCATTTAAAATATTTCAGTTTTGTTAAGATTAGAACACATTTTTTATCATTAAATATATATTCTGAAACATTCATTTTAATTAATGGATAGTCTTATTTCATTGAAAGTCATAAGTGTATCAACACTTTTGTGAATCACTGTAATTACATTTCAATATAAAGCTGTACTGTATACTGTATTTCATCTTACCAGTGCTTTTTATAAAATTCACTGATCACATTTTCCTTAAACCTATATCCCAAGTCAAAATTTTAAATAATGGTATTTTGAAATAACATTTTTACTTTAAGAGATTCAGTATAAAAAATTTAAATGTCAGAGTTGTAAAATTGTCTAATTTTCAGTTCAATACTCTATAGAAGAAAAAAAATAGATAAAATTCCTTAAAATTTATACTTTTTTTATTTGAAATTAAAACATTTAAAGAATTCCAATCTAAACACGCAGTTTTTTAGTTTAGCATAGTTAATTGTTTTTGTTTGAACAACTGGAATCTTGTACAGTGCAGAACTAAAACACTAAGTTACGTTTTCCTTCTCCTGACTAAACACATATGAATAAAAAAAATTATATTTTATGTATATACATCATTTAATATGTTTCCTAGATATTCATTGGTCATTGTCAGCTTTTTTAGGTAAAAAGATGAATAGTTTTGAAATATCATCTCTGGAATGCAAGCAACATTTACAAACTTTCGATATAGTGATAACTATACAATTCAAATTTTGAATCAAAAAACAAATATTTACCAACAAAACCGAAAAATTTGATATTAATATATAGATAGTTCTAAAAATAAACTTTTTTCAAAATAAAAATATACTATAAAAGGTTAAAATGAAATGAGTGATTGGTTGGTTTGCTGAGAAGAAAAAATTTACAGATTTCTTTGAATGGGATTTCAAAAGCTTTCAGAAAAAAGAGTGCAATATAAAATCCATTATTATTAAATTATAACCAACTAATTTTTAGACAATTAAATAAAGTTAAAAATACAAAAACCTATATGTCAAAATAGAAAAAAATTACCACTCTCAATTGCGAACAAACTTGAATCATTATGTGAACACGGACAGAATTTAAAAACCGAATCCTAACCCCGTCTTCCACATCCACCATAATCTTTGCCTTTCCTAAATTGCACAGTCCCATAGTCTGCATAGAGATCAAAGACATTTGCTTAGCAACCATGGGAGAATTTTATGTTGTATTCTAGTTTAACAGGGTTATAATGGAGCAAATTTTGATGAAAGCAAAGTAAATTGATGATATTTTAACTGCTTGGAGATACATTTCCGTCTAAAAAATGTGGGTATAATGGATGAAACAATTTAAATTAAGAAAATTAGCAAATAATTTAAATTAGTGAAATTAAAAAAAATATATAAGAAAAAATTTCCAGCTTTTCTTTAAAATTTCCAGGTTTTTATCCATATTTCCCTGATTTTTCCAGTATAAAAAAATTTCCCTGATAATTCCAGGTTTTCCAGGTGGGTAGCCACCCTGAAAAAAGTACCTTAATGGGCTTTCAAAAAATGTAAATAAAAAATAAGCATCATTAAATTATAATTAGTAAAAACTTGAGTTCCTAAGACCATTTTCAAAATAAGCCAATTTTTACATTTAATGCTAAAAAAAATAATTTTTTTTTCTCATTTTATTAAAAATTGAAATTTTTGTTTCCAACATGAAACTTCGAGTGCAAAGGGAGTGAAAAAAATTGCACTTTTAACAGAAAAAAATAGTTTCTTCGGTTCAGAGTTTCCATAAAATAAAGGTAAATAATTTCTAAAAAATTTTATATTCATAAGAGTTAAGAAAAAAATAAAAGTTATCTTTTTTAATTCTGCTTAGATGAAATTTCCCATTGATTTTCTAGATATTTCTTTCATCTATCTTTGAAAAATTAAAAATCAGATAAAAAATAATTTTCAAAAAAGCCCTAAAACTATTGCTTAAATAGGTCTTCCAGATTAGGGGCTTTTGATATGTGTTCTATTACTTCTAGCGTGAATTCTCTACATACCTGTGTAAAACAAATATGAAGTTTCACAAATAGTGGCTAATGTATATAACACTAGACAATAATGGAAACATATGCAGGCAATACTATATTGATAAACACTTATACGTTAATGAATGCAAACTAATAGGAAATTTAGCTATAAAGACAAATAAAGAAAACACATATCATTGAAAAGTTATAAAAAATGCTGATATAAAGGAAAATTAATAAAATACTATATAGGAATACGAGACTATAAAAAACTGCATACAAATACATGCTAATGAAACACTTATAAAATAATGCAAACAGATAGAAAACTACATATGAATGTAAGCAAGTTAGAATATTAACAATTGAGAGATATAAATTAATGAAGCAACAAAAACTAATTTTAATGAATTGAGTTTTGGAACAGAAAAAACCATACTTATTTCATTGTTTCTACCGATATCACAAAATTTCACATAGATAATCTTAATTTTATAAGCTGAACTATATAACATTACCCATTGAACTATTCAAAAAATAAAATATATTTAGCGTGATACCATGTATATAACATCGTTTAAAAAGTAATAGTTAAGCAATAGAAATTCAAACTCGTCTAATAAAACTTTTGAATTGAAAATTTATTCGTTTATGATACGAAATATATTAAATTCATAATTGGAGGGACAATCGTCTAAATAAATTGCAAATAAAAGAGTTGAGAAAAACCAGTGTTTCAGTAAACATCAAGAACATGATGGGTAACTTAAATTAAACTACTGAAATAACTGTTTGAATAATAAAATCCAAAACTAAGGAAAACAAATAAAACAACTTCCAAAAATTAAGGAAAATGCTATATAAAACTAAGAAAGGCATATTATTGTATTTTAGTGATTTATGACGGTAAAAAGGCAGAAACTGTACTATATTTCTCATTTTTTAGCAAAAATTTGAAATATTAATATTGCCCAAATAAAAAATATTACAAATTTAATACACTGAATCAAATATTCTTCCAAAATTTGCGACCATACATGAAATAAATTCAATTTGTTACATAAAATAAGTAAATTTTTTAAATAACATTAATAACTCTAAAATTAACCTTGCTGATAGTTATTTACTGTTTATAAAATATGAGATTAAAGTCGATAATTAATCAATATATAAAAAAAAAAAACAAGTACATTATTTCAAAAATAATTTTTGACCACACTAAAAAAAATAAATGTGATAGCCTGAAAAATATTTTTTAAAAAAACTTTCATTTTGGTCTTACTTTTTAATTTGATTTTGACTTATTATCCAAAAATGAGGTAACCTATCTCAAAACATATGATGCCACTTCAGGATTATTTTTGCATATTTTTATCCATTCTGGTTTTTTACTAACAGCTGAAAAATGTTGTTTAAAAAAGTCAACCGCCTTTTCAGACAAAGTTTTATCTCTAAACAAATGGGACATCTCAAGAAGTTGACAAACAGTACCTTCATTTAATTCAGATTCCAGTATGTCCCTACAATCTTCTTTAAGATCATCAACCGCATACTTATCTGCAAGCACGTACAGATTAAGCACCATATCATAACTTTTGTCACCGATTTCACTGCAGTAGAGATATTTTAAAAAAATTTTAAAAATAGAGGCATCTGCATCGGTAATTTGGATGGTTTTCGTATTGGATTCCAAGCAATCATTGTCGAACATAGCTTTAAAAGGAGAGTGAGTCACAAGCACTAATTTGTGGGCGAGAAGACAGACACCATCAACAGTAATAGTTACGTCAGCCATTTCTTTCGAATCTTATAGGTTTTTAAAATCAGAGCATAAATTACGTCTTTTACGTGGAACATTTATTGCAGGAGTGATGGTTCATCTTTTACGTAATACAGAATCACAGAAGTACATTTTAAAGGTAAATTCTATTGCAATATAATCATGCTCACGTGAGAACCCAAGGACTTTAGTACCAATCCTCAAAGTTGCGCCTTTAATAAAAAACGTGTAAGAGAAATATATATATAGATACTTTCTAACATCTCTCGATTAATTTAGACTGTAGACTATTAATACATTCATCATACTCATTATTTATTTCACCATATTCATTATTATTATACCAAAAGTCACAGTCACCTATTTAATTCACAGATGAAATGAAGGAGAGGGGTGACAGCTTCACAGGCAGGTACTCAGTACTAAAGACCCCGTTCCGTCGCCTGCTGTTTTTAGATTGCTGCTTGCCGCTGTAATATGTGGAAGCAAAAGAGCCTTAAGGAGTTTTTTGGTGCATTACAAAAATGTGAGACCTCTGTATTATGAGAAAAAACACTTTTTCAAACGAAAAACTCAGACAAAATTGAGGGACTTTATCTGTAGCAATTATAATTAAGAACGCATGTGATAATGTATGCTTAAAATTACTTTTATAATAAATGCAGCAATAATTTTAATATATAAAATATAGCTTTTTTATACTGTGGAAAATATATGTAGCATGATAGTGTTTTGTTCTATTCTTGCTTTCTTCGCAGATATTTTTTATAGTTAAGATTTATAAAATAAATAATAGATAATAATTTACAAGATAAAGGTGTATCAATTACAATTTTAATTATTTCTAATGCTTATGAATTTAAAGCCTGTTTTGTGCTGTGTAAGTGCTTTTTTAAAAATCTATTCTATTCGACCTATTTCGTTCAAATTTTGCTATTTAAAATTACTTAGTTTAAAACTAGGAAAATATTTGCATATCATCTAATGTTTTTCGACCATTATTAAATGAAATAATAAAGATAACAAATCATTAATAAAAAAATATTCGTCGTATGAAATATTTTTTGAATAAGGGGCCGTTCAAAAAGTACGTACATCCCTAAGGGGGGGGAGGGGATTTGCTATTANGGCAATTTGAAAAAGATAATGTTGAAAAAGGTAGATTAGTTTTGATTAAGGAAGACAATCTTCCAATAAATAAATGGTTAACTGCTCGAATCGTAGAAGTTTATCCAGGTACAGATGGCAAAATTCGAGTAGTAAAGGTTAGATTGCCAAATGGCAATATTTTGAAGCGTAGTGTGAGACATCTTTGTTTATTGCCAGTCGAATAAATGTACGGTTTTACGAAATCTAGAATGTTACTAAACTATGTATTGGGAATATTTGTGTTTATATTTACTCTTTTTGTCATTGTATTATGTATAGTTATGTGCTTTGTGAATATTGTGTTGTCTACTATTGAAATAATTTAAATTATTTCAATGGGGGGGGAGCATGTTAACGCTTAATAAGATATGTTTAATTCTAAGAAATAAAGTTAACACCCACGCATGATTTTCTAAAGGATCATGAGTGGGTGTAAGTGGCGTTCATCACGCGCCACGAAAAATAACCATTCTCGTTCTCTCTCTACATAGAGAATCACGCGGGTCAACCGCTCCTCTCCAGTCCGACAAGGACTATTTGCTGTTTCTTATATCAAAATAAAAT